TTTGTTATGATGCAGCAATAGAAATGAGATTTATTTCTGAAAGAAATAGATGGTTTTATGCTTAATGTGACTGATCATTATTGTATTTCTCCAGCTACCAGCAAAGGAGGGTTTCCTGTCATCCGGGTGATTTGTCACGAAAGTGTCATTTATGTCACGGGTCATGTAAGTCACAGAAGCGAGGCACAAGGCCTCCTTCCTCGCATTACTAGACAGTCAGGAACATTTTTGATGGCGACCGGATTTAGATGCAGGATGCTTGCGATTTATCAGTCTCTTTCGCTCTTTTAGGGTCTTACCTACTGGGCATCACCTCTTCTTTGAGATAAGTACTAGATTATTGCCCGATGGCTCACCACTTACTCTCGGTGCTGTATTGATGTCCACAGTCATGTTCGTGCACACGATCGTCTTGTTGATTGCGGGAATTCATGCAAGTTGCGGTCGTTTATGCTAATGAAATGCCATTGTTTATTGGTAACATCGAATTCTACACAAAGCCAAACAAAACGATGCGTTATTAAACCCTACAGGCTAAAACTCACATGCACCATACCTTCAGCACTTTAACAAGGTTTTAGAAACTACCTTACAACCATTCTAACAAAGTTACCTCAGAGGTACAGTGTACTGTATCAGCATATCAGGTTTATCGTTTGCTGTTCATATGTCATTTTTGTCTGCATATTGTGTTTTTATCCTGTTGCATTGTGTATCGTTGTGGTCTGTTGTTTTCCTTTAGTCGCTGTCGGCGACATTCTGTCTGCCAGTGCTTACTTCTGGGCCGTTCTTTCAGTGTGAGGCTTTGTTCCTCCACTTGTATTTGAGGCGTCGACCTCATTTTCTTGAGGTTTTGTCCTCATGTTGTATCAAGGCTTTGTCCTTGTTTTTTATATTGAGGTTTCGTCCTCATATTTTATTTTGAGGCTTTGGCCTCGTATTATATTGAGGCTTTGTCCTCATATTGTATTTTGAGGCTTTGGCCTCGTATTTTATTTTGAGGCTTCGTCCTCATATTTTATATTGAGGCTTTGTCCTCATATTTTATTTTGAGGCTTCATCCTCGTATTATATTGAGGCTTTGTCCTCATATTTTATTTTGAGGCTTCGTCCTCGTATTATATTGAGGCTTCGTCCTCATATTTTATATTGAGTTTTCGTCCTCATTATTTTATATTGAGGCTATGTTCCTAAGTTTGAGGCTTTGGTCCTCATTGTTCTAGGCCCCTGTTCCTTTGTTTGTACTGCTTATTTGATTGGTTTGCAGTGATATGTGTGTGGTTCTGTTTGTTGTAGTTTTGTCTAGGGTAACCAGATGCTAATATTATTTGTTTTGAATTTCTATTCACATTTTGTTGCCTTTTTTGTCTATTTTTTAGTCTTTATTCGTGCAATCCGTTATTTTGGTCTACATGCAGCTACATTAATTTTAATCTCCGGTTTTGTTGGCTCCCCTGTTTTGATATGTGTGGACATTACAGTCCTGCGTTTATTGTGATGGGACACTGTAATTAATACGTTGCTTTACGCTTTACTCTCCACGTCACATTAGTGCTTTTAGCTTTGTTGTTTTTGAGGAATTTACTGTTTATTCGTTTTGTTTGGGAGATCCTGACTGATTTATTAATTGGTTACACATTGTTCTTTAATGGTAGCACATTCTGGCTTTTTTAACGAAGTTGTTTTTATAGTTTTTTCATTTTACTGCAGGTGTAAAGGTATATACATGCAGCTCCCTTTCATGGACGCCTTTTCAATGAAGCCAGTCTTGAGCAGAATACCCAGCAGCTTTATCCAACCATCTTCAGCTTTCCCTTGGCATCTCTCCTAAGAAAGTCAATAGCTCTGCATTCTCTTTGGTTCCTCAATTCAGTTCAACATAGTATGCCAGAAATGTTCCAAAGAGTTGTACACATTCTGCTGATCAGTTTTCCAGGAGTTGCATCTCTAGTGCCGGACTACTCAAGAGCAGCTGCTGTGTCCCTTGGCATGTGGCATCTAAGTGTGCATCTACTTGGGCAGAACTTTCCTCAGGCAACTTTGGCTTGCTGGGCATTGTGATTGGGGTATACATGTAGCTCAAGTGTATAGGACATGTATGTCATTTGATACTTATGTGCAGGACATATGGGCAGTGACATTGTAATATGTAGAATTCTCACCACGTGAGTCAGGGTCATTTGGCCATCTTACGGTATATTAATTTTTTCACTTTATTCACCTGTTAGTTTCCTAGGTGATTTCTGCTTATAGTATAGTTTCAAGGTGACTGTGTGAGCAGGGGCCATACAGCCATCTCACAGATTTTCATTTGAATCAGTTACATCAGTGAGTTACGTCAGACTTTTTATTAGTATCATTCAGGGTGACTGTGTGAGCAGGGGCCATACAGCCATCGCACAGATTTATTGTAATCAGCTACATCAGTGAGCTATTTCAGACTTTTGATAAGTATCATTCTGCATGACTGTGTGAGCAGGGGCCATACAGCCATATCACAGATTTCCAAATTTAATCCGTCCATTATGTCACTGAGTTCTGACAATTTAGAGTAAATTGTTATTATTTAAATTCATGTTTACTGTGTGAGCAGGAGCCATACAGCCATCTTACTGATTTCATTTTAATCAGTTACATTAATGAGCTATTTCAGCTTTTTGATAACTACAATTCAGCGTGACCGTGGGAGTAGGGGCTATACAGCCAGATCACAGTTTTTCAAATTAAATCATTTCATTATGTCACTGAGCTATGACCATTCAGCCTAAATTGTTATCATTTAAATTCATGGTGACTGTGTGAGCAGGGGCCATACAGCCATCTTACCAATTAATTTTCACTTCTAATCATTTCAACCTGGTTTAACTTTACAGCTTTTAAACACGCTTGAGCTTCATATCGATGTGGCATTAGTGAGGCCGATATTATAAGTTGACTGTGTGAGCTGACAGGCTATGCAGCCATTTCCTTTATTCTAGCTACAGTAGCCCATTTCTGTTGGTTACATCAATCCACTTCTGTATCCAAGACTTAGGAAAACGTTATTTAAAACTCATTTGCTTTTGTCGGCCATTTTATTCCCATCTAGTGTCTAGTGCTTACTGAATAAGTGCAATTTATGATGGCTGTGTGAACAAGGGCCATACAGTTATCTCATTCATTTTCACTTTTAAACTGTTAGTTAACTTAAGTGATTCACACTTTTTGATCTGTATCAGATTCAATGACAGTGTGAGCAAGGGCCATACACCCCTCACATTCATTCAGACTTGTACATTTCTGTTGGTTACACTGATCCATTTCAGTAAGCAGGGCTTGGTAAACAGCCTTACCATTCTATTTCTATATGTTTACGTGCATAACCTCCACTGAACTAAACTGGTGGAACTAAGCTGTAAGTGACAGTGGCAAAGAATGTATACAATGTTGTATTGCTATGGACACACATGAGCCGTTATGGCGCTAGTTGACTCTATTGTTGTAAGGTGTACACGGTTGGATGATTATAATGCATGTATATTCATCTCAGCTCTCGCACATTGACCTTTTTTATTTTTAATGTGGTATCTTTCTTACCTTTAGCCCCAGAGGTTTTGTGTGACTGCATTGGTTGGGGCATACGTTCCCAATTTTTCCCATGTGGTTTTTCGGGTTTTCATATCAGGCGGCGCACACCTTTTTTCATTGTACATTTTGATTTGTAGGTACCAGTAGTTTCTGTTGGCGGTCGTCTTGCTTTGGCCTTGGGTGGGGCGGCCCTTTCACTCGTTCCTTGCTCTGGGCTGTGGCGGGTGTGCCCTCACCTTTGCTGGGATAATGTTCTTGTGTATCTGGTTTTCCCAGCTTTATATGCTTTAATTTAATAAACGGCCACTCCCGTGGCCAAAATATCCCATAATGGGTTTGGGATTATTTTGTGTCCCAGCAAACAGAGCTCACCCAAAGCGAGACTCCGCCAACATCAATAACTTTCGTAATATGTAAAGGAGCATGAAGCATAAAAGTGGTAAATAGATCAAAGATAAAAATAATTTTATACCAAAGTGACCTGGAAGACAACAGGAAATAGTATAAACAGAGACAAAACAGACAACATAACCAGCATAATTAGAAGTCTTGAAAACACATACAGATACTGTACATTTGTTTTCAAAAGTGGTCTCCACAACACAGACACGGCAATTCGAATCTAGTGCGTTTCGGTATGAATACTACTACCAGGCAGACCACGATACCTGAATTATTTTTGACTGCACAAACGGTGAATCCTCCGCGATTTTCACTGCGTGTCAAATGAAAGCATTGCTGATAAACATCCCATTAACATCCAGATCTTCTGCAGGAAGTTATGCTTTCGCTGTCAAAGGATTTTGCGCATTATTTTCGGCGTTCAAGATCAGGTCAGGTACACAGCTTCACGGCTGCACTGACCTGCCTACGCTCTGCAGAGACAAATCTCACACTTACCTGCCCCTCCCCCAAATCGTTTGTTTGTAATCTCCCAGATTCTGGGAGACACGTGACAAGCATTTTCCAGGGTCTCTCTCCCTCTCGCTCCGTAGAGTGGGTAGGAGAGAACCTTGGGAACAAGGATGTCACGTCTAATTTTCCAGTGATGCTCTGATTAATAATTCTTATTGAAGGTAATTTATCCCTATCACCTAAACCTTCCAGTAAAAGTTTCTGCTGAATTTCTTTGGCCTAAGCACTTGGTTCTTCTAACTTCCAAACCTCAATACACTGTAGCAGATTGTTCGCCATGATGTGAGGATTGCTACTACCTTGAGTAAAGGGAAGAACACTCCCATAGCATTGGAAATGGTCGACAATTTTGTTTACTCCTGGCACTGTTACCTTCAAATTATTTGATATTTCATTTGTAGTGAAACCCTGATTGTACAACGCTATACTTTCTTTGTAAATGACATCAAAACAAGCTTTATTGATTTAGTGATATGATATCTTTCGCCTTAGCTTTTCTGATTCGCTAGTTTCATTTCCTTAGACAACGCCTATTTTTACGTAGAAAACGCATGGTCTCTTAACTTTAGCTTTAGTTGGATTTCGTCGTCTTCATGTGTACATCGTTGTAGTCTATTTGGATAGTTCATTTCTTGGTACTTAGAGGCAAGCGGGAACTGATATGTAAGTACATTTTATCTTCTGTAGTTTTGTCTATCTGGCGACTCATAAAGTATATTCCTGCAAGAAGTTGTTGTAATACTCAGTATCTCGTACCATTACGTGACTACGCCCTTTTGAGTTTCAAGTAGGTTTTTACTTTTAGTTCGGCCTGAGAATCTCATTTCTTTTAGTTTATTTAGTTTTCATGCCTTTGCAAACGTAATCCGTTCTCAGATTTATTTTGTTAGTTTCTTAGCATAGTATTATTCGCAGGAAGCAACCATTATTGTTTTGGGAAGGTTTCTTTTCTCCTGCATACTCAAATTTAAGTTGATTTTATTCCTTTCATGAAGTATATTTGGTCTAACATTCTAGTTGGTAACATTTATTATTCCTGTATTTCTTTATATATATCTTATTACGCGTTTTCTGGCAAGGTTTTTATACTGGAACAGCTACGAAAATGAAAATGTGATTGGAATGTCAGTAAAATGTTATATTATCTGCTAGCCAAACTATAATTGTAATTGTACTTTAGCTTTTAGTAATTATTTGTTACCTTGCATTATATTTCAGTTTACGGTTCGATTATCGTCAATAAAATCACCATCAAGGACTAACTCCTAGTTTCGTGGTCATAGTTGATTCATGATCGACCAGTAAAATATACCCGCTCACACGGAGTTTCGCTGCTACAAACAGTTTTAGCCGCGTGACAATTGGCTTCTCCTACAGTCGCAGCGTATCATCCGTTACATTATTCTCAGAAAGCTCCAGACAGGGCCTTCCCATATGGCGCGATATCAGTGTCAAAATTATGTTTGTCTTAAGGTTTCGAATGTTATACTGGTACTGAAATGTCTGTTGTGAAATTTACGCATAGGCATGTGGAGCTTAAACGTGATTTTACGGAATAGTCTTGACATTAAGATGTTTGTGTTGGAATTATGATGTTTGTCTTGACATTATGATGTTGATATGTATATTTAACAATTATTCGCTGAAGGTGAAGTTAATATTGTTGAATAATCCCCGAGACGAAGTTAAGGGGATTTTTCAACAATATTGACTGAGCCTGAGGTGAATTAGTCTCCCTCGCAGACGTTTTTAGTATCGTCACGCAACGCTCCTCCCCACAAACGGCTGCTCACATTCAAACAACATTCCTTTCCACCACTTAAACCAATCACCATGTAGTTTACGTATTTCGGGAACTAGGCGCGCCAACGTAATCTAACCAATCATATTGTTTGTTTTATCTTGGAGTCCACTGCTTCCAAAATGGCGACCACTGAAGAAGCTTTTGACGTTGTTAGCAAGACATTTCGAATTTCTGCCTTAAATGGGCCGCAAAAAAACGGAATTACGAAAATAGTGGAAGAAGGAAGGGATGTTTTTATTAATCTTCCTACTGGTTTTGGGAAATCTCTTCTCTATCAAGCATTACCACTCGTGTTTGATCTCACTTCAAAACAGCCTGGTCATATTGTGGTAGTTGTTTCACCATTAATAAGCCTTATGGTATACCTGCCAACTTTTCCTGAGATATAAGCGTGAGATTTTTATCCTTTGAGTGCTGGGATTTTTGAAGACGACACGATCATTTCCGAAGATTCCGGAAGAAGTCCAAAGTCTGTCGAAGGCGAAGTTTTCACTTGCTTTTCACTTCAAGAATTAGAGATCGCGAGGAAGGTATTGTCATTTATTCATTTTACACATGGTTTTCGTTCCTTACATGGATCTGAGTTAACATATTTTTGAAAATTGTGTCAAGCAAGACGGCAACAACTCACATTTTTCAATCAGGCGTGAGAAATTGGCCCGCAATCGTGAGCCGGCGTGAGATCGAAGTTTTCAACCCGCAGGCGTGAGAGTTGGCAGGTATATTATGGACGACCAAGTGTCTTATTTGAGGGACCTAGGGCTTAAAGAATGCAACATAACTTCACTTGAGGACGGTGAACGCACTCCTGTTGTAAACCGTGAATATTCCTTAGTTTACGGATCACCCGAAGCATGGCTGAAAAACGAACACTGGAGATTAATGCTGACGAACTCTGTTTATTCCAAAAAACTATGTGCGATAGCAGTCGATGAGGCGCATGTTGTAAGGCAGTGGTAAGTCTTTATATAAATAAGCGTCTATATCAGTGCAACAAGTTATCCTATGCAATAGATTTATGCCGTGTATTTTCTTTTTAATGTGTAGGGGAACATCTCAAGATAATAAAATGGCTGCATTCCCGAGTGTTACTCAAAGCTATACGAACTAAGGTCTCTCGCACCTAATGTGCCTATGGTAGCCTTGACTGCAACTGCAACCAAACTGACTAGAGACACAATTTTAAGTCTTCTGAACTTGGAAAATGTAGTGGAAATTAAAGAAAGTCCCAATAAATTAAATGTTGCCTATGTTGTACAATATATGGATAAGGACACGGAACTTGAATTTTATTTCAGCTGGCTCACTGATGAACTGAAACACAGTCAGGAGAAAACAGACAGAACAATCATTTACTGCCAGACTATAAGGCAATGTGGTTTAGTAAACGCTACAATCAAGGGTTTGCTAGGAACGAACATGTTTATTGGAGATAACTCAAAAAATGTGCTTGTTGAAATGTTGCATTCGTACACTCCTGAAGAAAATAAGAAGACCATTTTGGGGTCGTTTCAATCTGAAAATGGTATTATCCGTCTGCTAATAGCAACAATAGCCTTCGGAACGGGCGTTGACTGCCGAGGTGTTCATAGAGTCATACATTTTGGACCCTCCAAAAATGTAGAGTCCTATGTTCAAGAAACTGGTAGGGCAGGAAGGGACGGCCCCAAAGCATTGCTTATGTTTTATATCATGGAGTTATGTTGAACCATATTGACGCCCATATGAAGTCTTTCGTTAAGGCTAAAGAGTGCAGGAGGAAAAACATTCTAAATCACTTTGAGTGTGTGTCCATGTATCCAGAACAACCTTATCTTTGCTGCGATAATTGTGCTTCTCAATGCGAATGTGGTATGCCACACCCTGATAACCTTACCAAATACCCTGTTGCCACCTACAAGGACATTCCGCCTACATTGAAGGAAAGATAAGTGTCGCAACAGCAAATGAAAGTTGTCAGAGAAAACTTGATAAAATATCACAAGTCCATTGTCATGCAACTTGTTGGTTCTACTGCAAATGGAAATGTGCAGACCTTAACTAATTCACAATTTATGTTAGGATTTTCACAGCACCAAATAACACAGGTTCTGGATAATGTACATCGAATTTTCTCAATAGCTGATGTTTATAAGTTTGAAGAAGTATGGGACAAAAGGCATGCACAGAAAATGCTTTTAATTCTTAACAACGTATTTGCAGACATCAATGATCACTGTGATTCAGAAATTGCTGTAAATAATGCTGATAACTTTGAATTTGATGATGATTTACTTGATGAATGGCATGAATTTTTGCAAGACGATGAACTTCATGATATGATCTTGGACAACTTGTCATCGTCACAACTAGAAAGTTCAGTACTGGAAGAAAATGCCAGTGATTCAGACAACGACGATGTTATGCCACCAGCAGTATTGGCAACAGTAGAGAATATAGCATTGGATCACTAATGATTGATAGTTTACTAAAAGGGACATTGTCAGCTGGTGTGCATGCTCATTACATACCTATTCTTAGCTGATTTAAATACACTTTGTCATAAGAGACTGCTTTTAGCAAGTATGGTAATATACTGTAATGCTATAGGATGAGGAAAAGCATACTCAGAAACAGGTTTCCATTATAAGATTGACAATGGAAAAAACTATAGAGAAGATTGAAGTGGATTTCTGAATGTAGTATTCTTTGATTTTGGATTGAGGAAGACACTTTTCACATTAAAAAGCCAGTGTCCAGGTCAGCATGGTCACAAAGCTGACATTGTCCCTTTGAATGTGATTGTGTAGACTGTATTGTGTACTGGCCAAGGTTTTCTAGGTTTTCCAGAAAGGGCAGGGGCACATCTGTTTGGGTCAGTGTGGCCTCTGTGGCCTTCTGAAATCTGTCCCTGTTCTTATTATCCCTGGTCCTTTTTCGGAGCAGAAAGCTTAGTGCTATAATTGTTTTGGTGTGTTTTGATACATACAGAATGTCATTGTCAGAAGAGTCATGCAATTAGACAAAGATGAAATACCTTTCTGTTCGAGATAAGTGAAATTTCACATGTGAAACATAAGGGAAAGAGATGAAAATTAAAATATATATATCTATATATATAATGGTCGTGCTATTGGAACAACTGAAGTTTGATTGCGAGTGCTATAAGAGATTTATCTGTAGATTCTATTGTGAACTGATTATTTGAAAATGGAATCTTTTGTATGTGATGTATCCAGGAGCAATAATGTTTAGACTACAGCATGTCACTAATTAGTCAGATCAAAAATTCAGCCTTGTCAATAGATCAGATTCCTATTATTGCACTAAGACACTGCATATCTAATGTTTTAGGAAAACTGACCGGGCAGAAAACCACAACTACTGCAGCGAGAATACACTACTCATGCAACAACGATTCTCTGACTGACAACAACTATTGGATTCGAATTTTTCAATAATCAATTCATAAAATATCAATGCTTATCAATAAGTAAACAGTGAGTGTAGACTTATTTTTCTCACTTTTTCAACAGACAATAATATCTGAGAACCACTTGGGCTGTCATTTATAGTACATTTTGTGCAGCTCCACACTATTTACAGACTATTTACAGACATCTTAAAATATTGAATAGACAAGTGGGAAGTCATCAAAGGTGTGGTCTATTTCATTTCGCATGAGTTTATCTAGCTCTGATACCACTGAGCACATTTCTCTTGTGTTTATTTATCCACTGATGTAATTTTGAGGCATCGAGTCCTTCCAACCTGTCTCGCTTAAAGTCACAGAAATGATTATAAGCACGTCCCACTTTTCTTCAAACACATTCATTTCCTGAGCTCTTTTGATAAGCTCTTGCAGGTCCCTCTCTTTGGATGGATCAGAATCTTTGCCAGTTTTTGCATGTCGTTTCAAAGAATCATCAAGGTTTTCCAGGATTAATGATGTTGAACTTTCAGCTTTGCATATTCTTGATATGGCTGCCTCTGAGAGGTTGGGTCCAAGGTTTTTGATACTCTGCTTTACAAAGTTATTGCTGTGCTCTGTTGCCTCATCCAGAGGAATGTTGGTGCCTTTCTTGCCATGATTATTCACAGACCTGTTCCATATGAAACGTTCACTGTCTCTCTGTGACAACAGAGAACTGATCAGAAAAAATTGGTACGAACATTCTAAAGAATATGTTGTACTATGATGATCATCTGCTTTACAGTACAGCATGAAGTACTTGTACTGTCGCATAAGCCTCAATCCATCACCTTCTTTGATAGCGTCGAGAAAGTTAAAAAACAGAAAACAGTCAGCTAGAAGTGCACAGTTGTAATTGAACACATCATCACTTGTTTTTTTTGTACGCTCAGAAGAGTCATCATCACTAATACCTTCACTTGTTTTGCTACTGCTGTCTGCAGTTGAAGGTAATTGTGTAGAGAAATTGGTTTCAATAAGTGGCTCCTCTACTTGAACTGGTGGGTCATGCTTGAGTTCATGATTCTGCTTTTTCCATCATATTTAAATGAACTGGTGCATCCCGGAAATCTACAGGGAAATCTGCCATCGGTTGTTAACTCCTGTTGACGCAGCAGGTTTTCTTTCTCTGTTTCTGTCACTACAGTGTTTACAATAGCATCGACAGAAGAATGTTGGTCAAAAACAAATGCATCAACAACCTTGCCAGCTAATTCATGGAGGCAATTCAGTTTTTCTGACTTCGTCAGCAAATCCATTCTAGGTGGTAAGTCAACCTTTGATGGCTTCCCACTTTTGTTTTCAAATCCGAGGACTTTATTGGCCGCTGTAATTACCCTTGATTGGAAAACTACACTCAGGAAGTCTCTGTCGGGCCGGTATGATGACTGTACATCTCCAGTAACATTTCTTCTGTTAATAAGGTTGCGGTCGGAAAACATGGTGCAACTATCAGTTGCAGATTTTCCACTGTAGAATCTGGCATAAATCAACTGATGATAAAAGAAACATCAAAGTGTTAGGTGCGATTCAGACGCCGTTCTTTCCATGAGCCGAAGCTAATACATTGAATTAAGTACATGAAAAGTTTGGTATCTGAATCAATTAGGAATGCCTATTTCAATTTGCAACGGCTCAGCTGTTCTTCACGCCTAGCCCGGCTAGGAATTTCGACTTTAGAACGACTTCAGATGCTGAACTTTTCATGTGCCGAACCTAATGATAGTATATTGATAAACCAATAACCAGCAGATAAGTGTTAGGGAAAACAATGGAATTAACCAGTAGCCATATGTAGAGGATTATTCAGTGGTTAGTGTTCTTGAAGTTTTGAATGAACTGGGGCCAGAATGACGATGATTATTAAATAAAAGTGCTATTGGATACTGTAAATAAGCCCTTCTGGTTATAGGCCCATCCACATGTAAACAAAAAAATTCATTCAATTATAAGCCTCCCCCCCCCAATATATGCCCCCCTCTTATTCTGTTCCAAATTTTATTGACATGAAGTTGATTTATTATGATTGTTTGCAGCTTAATTGCACACCTGTACAATACTTTCATCAGCTCTGCTATAGCCTTTTTCGAGGCGCTATTTCTATTCCGCTTAAAAGCCCCCCTCGGATATAAGCCCCTCCGTTTATAAGCCCTCCTAAAACTCCTTGCAAAGAAGTATAAGCTGTAAGCTGCAGTTTACACTTATTAATCATAATGAAAGAAAATGAAAATTATATTATGGTCTTTCAGCTTCAATATTAATTTGTCAAAAATATGACAGATAATAATTCATCTTTTAGATTTTAAATATTGTTTTACTCACACTGAGTAGTTTGACAGCGGTGTGCCAATCACCCAGCCGTAGGTTGATTCCTTCGAGTCTGTCTTTGGGTGTGTAACCATTGGCCACAGAGGATGTCATATTCACTGCTCGTTCAACGGTAAGCTGGTCTCCTGAAAATAGTTGACCATCTATGCCACTATTGGGTGTCTGAGGAAGATAACCATGGAACTGCTGTAGAATTCCTAACATGTCCTCGTTGACATTTTCGTTTTTGAATATTAATCCAAGGGGAACCTGAAATACATTATTACAAACACTTAGTTGTTACAGTTAGATGCATATGTGTGCATACTATGATAATAACCTGCAGGAACATTTTTAACCCCTCAGGTAATTACCATGTTATTTAGCTTCATACTGCCAAAAGTTGACAAACTTTACTAATGTACTGCTTTTACACAAGACTCGAGATAAAATACTCTTTCTGTGTTTGCTATCTAGACCTTTAATAGCCCCTCTCCCCCCCCCCGACCCCATCCCCCCCCAGAATTTTTTGTCACCTTTCTCAGGATGGGTAATGAAATTTTATGAAACCAAACATCATTACCACAGATTGGTTTAAACCAAATAAAAGATTATTCTGCCCTACATGTTCATAAATTCAAACGTTTTATTCCAGCTTTTGCTAATCACTAATCCAAGGTTAAATTTAACCCAGGCACCTGTTTCTTTCGTTCAAAAGCATGTTTTCTGTTCATTTTTACCTATAATTTTAGAGCTTATAGGCAGAAAGAATCAACTGCAAGAATTTGCTTTGCAAGCATTTAGATTTGAAGTCAAATTTCGTGCTTATCCTTGGTTCTCTTAATCCTGCTTTTACCAACCAGGCCCTGGAGTTGATTCAACTATGGTAGATTTTAAAACAAACCTTCTTTGTTTTCTTGGATAATTCACTTGTATATTTATGAGGAATGTGCTGGATGCAGGCATCAGCCAAAGGCGTTAAGACATCAAAGTAATTAACCAGTATTCTAGAACACAGGACAACGTAGTTCAACCTCTGACATTTCTGTTCCTCCATTGATGGCAAAAACCTCAAATTACAAACATCAAGTAGGTTACTTTTTGGAGCTGAAGAATCCAACATAGCCCCAGAGACTCTGTTCTCCACCATCTGATGGTTTACCCAGAGGAAGTCCTTGTTCTGTGACTCCATAGTCATGTTCTTTCGATCCAAATGGATATCCAAGTTGTCAAACGAAATGACGAAGCCTGGGTGTGCTGCCTTTTGTATTTCATCTTTCTCCCTTTTGGCTGATGAAAAATAAGTGGAAATGAGTCATGAGTCAAGTACAACAACTTGATTCTCTCTGATCTGCTTTGATATTGATTGCAAGATACAAATTAATATTACTATAGTAAGTGCATACCACTGATCCATATAGTCAATGCTTAACCCTGACCCAACTTATAACTTTACTCAGAAGTCATCAACTCATAAGACTCACAAAAAGCTTTCTCATACCCGGCTGGATTTCATCTTGACATTCTAAAGAACAGTGGGTGTGGGAAGCATGTGTTAGCAAGACAGCATCACATTTCTCTTGAGCAGTCTTCAGATCTTTGTTTTGATTTGAAACATGATGTTTTACCTGGACAATAGCTGCATCATGGTTCTCGCCTAGCTCATCTAGTTTTCTCAGTATACTGAAATTTGCATTAGTCAGTTTCATCTTGTTAAATCTGCCGATGGTTGACTGTTGAGCAAGCAAAATATATGTACATAAGGTTCGAAACTGTCCATCTATAGTGCTATGTTAAAACTAAAGAGAAGGAAAAATTTAGAATTATCAACTGCATGCTGATATTTTTAGGACTTAAAGGGTTAAGGAAGCAAACTTGGATAGATCTCTGGGAGTTGTAGAAGATGAAGTTTTCAAGGAAAATTTTGTGCTCTTTCTGTTGCAAATGCAAGTCCTTTCTATTATTACGTTTACTGAGCTACTGCACTGCAAATTAACTGGGATATATGACCGTGTTTATTAGTGTTTCCAAGTGTTCCGACACTGTAACTAACTGCTGGTATTTAATGACAGTGTATTAAACGTACAATCAAAGTTTTTGAAACCATCATGGGGGTAGATGCATCATGCAAGATTTCTTTCAAACTATCAACTATTAAAAAAAATTATATAAGCTTCCATAAGACTTCACTTGCCTCTACTGACTTTGACTTGAGAAGTATGCCAAGAAACGAAGCAGTGGCATCCATTTTCTCACTCCTCTGTTTTAGAAGTACTGATCCCGCTATGGCTACGCTTGAGAACCATGAATACTCTTTAGTCCTTTTGTTCACTGCCGAAGTCATCAAGAACGAGAAGAACAGTGGTGCTCTCTGTCTCCACTCGTTGCATAGAAGTTGGAAGTCGAACTTGGCCAGATCCTCTTTGCCTGACTTTCTCAAAAGCGAAGGATTATTTCTCGAACATAATGACTCTACCTCTTTTGAAAGGGTTTTCAACGTATTTTCAATGATGTGATTCTTGATCGTCGGATTTTTCATTACCGCATTTGCGAAGGAACCCCATGCGCTAAATCCTTTCCAATGGCCTGATAACTTCCACTCAGGGTTTTGTTCAAAGTTTTACTCGGGTACTGGATGGTCAGTACAGTCTTTGTAGCTTCACTTGATTTATCACGAGGATTGGAAGAACCTTTTAACGCGACTAGAGTAGAGGTAAACATCGGCAAGGCGAAGGTGTTGCTGTCAAAATTTGACCAGGGAAAGCTTGCAGCACAAGTCCGTAAGGATGACTGCGAATTGGAGATACACCTGTAGGCTGGCTAGTTGCGGTAAAATTGGCTGAAGCATGACAAGAAGTAGAAGTGGTAGCGATGGGAAATAAACGTTTCGAGGATTTCCCACGGCACGAGGCTGGGGATTCTCCACTGTCGTCCTGAACGCGAAGTAAGCGCTTCGCTCTGGGAAGTTCACGATCCTTGTAGATTTGTTTTAGTTCAATTTTCAGCTCTTCAAGGTGATCAGAGGCCTTTTTGAACTTGATAAGTCGTCTATAGCACGTTTTACAAACTGCCAATTTGCTGGTCGCTGCATAGCAGCTCACATTAACATCCAGACAGGAACTTACTATGTTTGGAAAATCGAAAGAGCTTTTACCAAATAGGCCAGCATTATGTAACGGAAGGAACATAATGGTTTTTATGTTGGGACCAAAGATAAGCTTATCAGTAGATAACAGCTAAGGAGCGGCATTGCGATAAGCAGTTCTCTGGGTGACCTCTGCGGTCTATTACACGGTCTTTTATTTGTCATGTGGAGAGACTTCAGCTATGTAAAGGCTGCGACAAGTAAGTTCTTCCCCTTTTTCTGCGAACAAGCTCAGCGAGCACATCTCAGCGAAAGTGAAAGTCTATCGCAACTCATTATCTCGTAAATGGTTTTCGTTTTGGTATTTCTATTCGATATTTTGGGGATAAATTCAACTTTCGATCCAAAAATCTAAAGAGTGCTTTTGAAAACCCACGGGAAGTTACTGATAAGCTTAATAAGGAGGTATTGTCAGGGCGAATAATTGGTCCTTTTGACACGCCTCCCTTTGAGAATTTTCGAATTTCCCCTCTTGGCCTGGTTCCTAAAAAGGCTCCTGGGGAATTCCGTCTCATACATCACTTGTCTTTTCCGGAAGGTTCTTCTGTAAATGACGGTATTCCTCGGGAGCTATCTTCTGTACATTACGCTACTATAGATGACGTGATTAAGAAAATCAGCTCATTAGGTGCTGGGTGTTTCCTTGCAAAAACTGACATTAAGTCGGCTTTCCGCATAATACCTCTCCACCCTCGAGATTTTGACTTGCTCGGTTTTGAATGGGAAGGTAAATTCTATTTTGATCGTTGCTTTCCAATGGGTTGTTTGTCTTCGTGCAACATATTTGAGACATTTAGCACGGCGCTCGAATGGATTGCCACAGCCAAATTACAAGCTTACGCTGTCATACATATCTTAGACGATTTTCTGTTTTTAGCACCTTCGCGAGACAAGTGTCATAGGGATTTAGATAACTTTATCAAATTGTGCAACGAGGTCGGAGTCCCTATCGCAGATGAGAAAACCGTCGGTCACGCGACCTGCTTACAATTTGCTGGGATCGCTCTTGACACAATTAACATGCACGCCCGTTTGCCAGAGGATAAGCTCGCACGTTGCCGGGGGTTGTTAACGGAATTCTATAACAAACGCAGTGTAACCCTTAAGGATCTGCAGTCGCTTATAGGGTTATTGAATTTTGCGTGCTCGGTTGTCCTTCCCGGTCGTGCTTTTCTCCGCAGAATGATTGATCTGACTAAAGGTGTGCGTAAGCCTTATCATCACATTCGTCTCACGAGACAGTGTAAGGAGGACATTTTGTTATGGCTCAATTTTCTAAATTCGTTTAACGGGAAATCCTTTTTCTTATCTACGAAGTGGCTTACATCTAGTACCATTAAACTTTATACAGACTCGGCAGGCTCTCTAGGCTACGCCGCAGTCCTAGGCAAACGTTGGTTTTACGGACATTGGCCGGATTGTTGAAAATCTCTGAATATAACCATACTAGAGCTTTTTCCTATTGTTTTGGCAACCGAGATTTGGGGCGACATCATGCGCAATCATTGCATTGTTTTCTTTTCGGACAACTACGCTGTGGTCGATATCATCAATAAACAGACCTCCCGTGAACCAAAAATCATGGTCTTAGTTCGCAGACTTGTGCTAAATTGTCTCAAATATAACATTCTTTTCAAATCTAAACACATACCAGGCATTTTAAACCGAGAATGTGATTTACTGTCTTGCTTAGAGGTAGACAAATTCAAGCTTCTTGCGCCACACGCGGACGTTCAACCCAGCCCGGTTCCGAGCAGCCTACTACCGCAGAATTGGAAGCTAACTTAAAACGCTTAATGCACTCTGCTGGTCACGCAAAACGTACGAACAAGCATGGCATCATTTCTTAGATTTTTCCACCCGATACTGTGGCACAGCTTCCACTGAGTGTCAGTGATATAGTACTTTTTGTGGCCTATTTGTCGGCCAAGAAATTGGCACCTTCTACAATTTCGACTTACATTTCCGCATTGAGCTATGTCCATAAAATTGGATCTTTCTCTGATCCCACCAAAGCATTTGTTGTACACAAGATCATGACTGCTCAAAGCAGGCTCTGCTCGAAACTGGACATACGGTTGCCTATCACTCGCTCTATCTTACATAAATTGGTGCAGGCTTTAAATCACACCATCACGCCCGCCTATCAGATTTTATTATTCCAAACAATGTTTCTAGTGGCTTTTTATGGATTTTTTTCGAGAGGGTGAACTAACGACCAAGACCCCTGAGTGGCGACATTCCGTTCTCCAGTTTCAGTCACTGTCTTTTCTAAAATCACGCAATGAAGTACAGGCCGCCAAACTTGTCATCACGGATTATAAACATAACACAACCGGGCGTCCTTTTTCCATAATTATTCACCGAGAGTCGACCGTACACTGCTGTCCTCTTGATTTTTTACTACGCTGGTGCCGGATGAGAGGATCCAATTCTGGTCCACTTTTTTGCCAAGCCGTCAAAACAGAGGTCTTTACACGGCAGCTCAAAGGAGCCCTTGCTTTTTGTGATTTAGACTGTTCCAGTTACAAATCGCACTCTTTTCGCATTGGTGCAGCTAGTGTGGCAGCAGAAAACGGCATGTCTGACGCGCAGATTCGGGGTCTTGGTCGTTGGAAATCCGATGCATTCAAGTTGTACATACGATCGCCAACTGCATGGGCAAATTAATTAGGTTCGTTTCCGGTTATTGCAGTCACGGGCTGGTAACCCGTTTAGAACGACCAAATAATCAGTTCTCGACAGGCATGGGCTGGAGAACTGCCTGGTGTTCACAAAGAAATTATATTTAAGGTCCCTATCATTCAAAGTTATTGCTCTCGGCAGGCATGGGCTGGAGAGACGATTTTATTTTTATTCTTATTATGCGGACCGGAAACACGTCAGAGATTGGCCTGGTGTTTCTCATGTATGGACTAGCGTTATTTTCACTTCGTAATTTTTGTTCTGTCTTGGGCCTTTTTTCGTCGGTTATGTTTTTACGTTTTCCTCAATGCCTGTAGGAGTAATCGGCTCTCGGCAGGCATGGGCTGGAGAGCCGATTACCATTATTCTTATATCAGACCGGCAACACATCGGAGGTTGGCCTGGCTTTTTCTGATGTCTGACTCGCCATTTGTTTTTGTGCTTGGTGTGCGTGCTCGGCCTTGGTGGGGTTTGCCACAGAGTGTGGCTGTTGGCGTAATTTGCCCCCACCTAATTTTTCCTGAGTTGAAATGTCAGTGATTTATAATTTCGTTATAACAGTGTGCAATCACGTAATCACAACTTGTTACTGATTTTTGTCAGTTAAACGCCACTTAAGTGGCCATTAAAATCCAGCATGATCTCTGTATTTAATGACAGTAAGCGAAGGCTGTCGCATGCACACAAAATCCCTACGACGTATTATTAACCTGTTGAAAGGGCGTCCCAATATAAAGGCCAGCATTATGTAACGGAAGGAACATAATGGTTTTTATGTTGGGACCAGAGATAAGCTTATCAGTAGATAACAGCTAAGTAGCGGCATTGTGATAAGCAGTTCTCTGGGTGTCCTCTGCGGTCTATTACACGGTCTTTTATTTGTCACGTGGAGAGACATCAGCTATGTAAAGGCTGCGACAAGCTCAGCGAGCACATCTCAGCGAAAGTGAAAGTCTATCGCAACTCATTTTTGTCCCACCACCCCCCACAACGCCTCCTTGGTTATTTTCTAATTTTGTTTTTAATTTTGTGCGGGCGTAATTTGCCTCCACCTAATTTTTCCTGAGTTGAAATATCATAGTGATTTATAATTTCGTTATAACAGTGTGCTATAATGTAATCACAACTTGTTAGTGATTTTTGTCAATTAAACGCCACTTAAGTGGACATTAAAATCCAGCACGATCTCTGTATTGAATGACAGTAAGCGAAGGCCGTCACATGCACACAAAATCCCTACGACGTATTATTAACCTGTTGAAAGGGCGTCCCAATATAAATATAAATTTTTTCTTTGTTTGGAATTTCCGTGGAACAAATGAAGCAACGATCGCTTTTCAACACTTTCTTTGGCGTATCCCCCATTGAAAAAACTCTGATCTTTGTAGAATGTGAGCATTTCTCGAGAACTTGAGAACGCGGAAAAAACCACGTTGTTCACAATGTTCTGTGATTTGATTGGTCGCATACTAAACAATGTCAGTGATCTGATTGGTGCAAAGACTACAAAGGGAAAGGAATGTTGTTTGAATGTGAGCAGCTGTTTGTGGGGAGGAGCGTTGCGTGACGATACTAAAAACGGCTGCGAGGGAGACTAAAGGTGAATAATTGTTTTAGTATATTAACACAAAGTGATCTCAACAGAATCAGAAAGGAAACCATTAAACATATGAAACAACGATTAGTTTGCTTGACGGGTGAATTCATGC